ATCTGTTAAACAAAAACAATATGTCATACTTCCATGCTTTACACTCCAACCATCATAACCTTAATCCTGGAAAAAATTAGATGACATTCTAGAATCTAGAGGTTCTGAAATAAAAACTGGTTCAGGTGCCATTCGCCATTTTGTGAGTTGGGGCCATGTTTGGAACAATACTATGGTTGTTGTGGTAACAATCACTGTTCTCAACATCTGTAGGGATAAATGCCCCAACATCAAAATCCTGGGTAGTGCTTTGAACTTATTGACCTTCAGAGCTAATAGACACCAGTTCATTTTGAATGGTTTCTCTTACCTGTCTGGTTGGCAATTTTCCCTTCTGGGCAATGAAGGCATTTGTAACAGCAAAATTGCTTCCCTTCTATTTTGATCTTGCTGTATCCCAAGTAGCAATCATCAATACACAAAGAAAGAGGTTGTGTCTGTTATAAATGAAAATGCAGTAAATTTAGAATTTAAACATTAGGAATCTAAGAAATTACCATGTTAGAGGAATATTTTCTTTCCTTTGTTGATTAGAGATATGAAATATTCTGTGCTAGCAAAGAAGGTTTGGCTTATTCTTTAAAATATCCTTCTGACATCATAAACTCTGTTAATGGAAAAGTCTTCTATTCACCTGATAGACATCAGAAATAAGGGTTAGTTAGTTCAGAAGTATGTTGAGTTACTTTTCCTGGTGCAAGACCCTCTTCAAAGTCCTGTGCATCAAGAATATTGCTTTTCATGTAATTGATTCATTTGTGTGATTGTTCAAAGACATTATTTGGACATCAACTGCAGCATGATCACTGAACCATCCCTTAAAAATGAATAACAATAGCGATAGCACTTAGACTTATTTACCTCTTCACAGTGCTTTACAACCCTCTCTAAGCTGTTTACAGAGTCAGCATATTGCCCCCAACAATCTGGGTTCCCATTTTACCAACTTTGGAAGCATAGAAGGCTAAGTCAACCTTGAGCGGGTGAGAATTGAACTGCCAAACTGTGGCAGCTGGCAGTCAGCCGAATTAGCCTGCAATACTACATTCTAACCACTGTGCAACCAGGGCAAATAAAAATTACCTGGTTAAAAATGTTGGGCCAGACAATATTATTTGCTGATAGAGAGAGAAGGTTTTCAAGTTGAGTTGAGGGATTTATTTTTCCAACTTTAATCCTAAGAAAGGATTGATTTGGGAAGGTGATCCAGTTGATGATATCAAAGCCAGATGCAACCTTCCCATTCTGGTCAAAGAAAATATTTTCTCCAGCACTGTTGTTAAATGAGACTTTTCTCAGGTAGCGATGAAGCTCAAGAGAAGAACATGAGAGTAGTTAATAAAGATATACAACGATGGCAAAATAGACAGCAATATTATTTCAGAAGATATTGTTGCACTCCTGATATATGATGCTAATAACAAAGTTAATTTGTCACTTCTAAAGACTCACCATGAGAGACAAAAAACAGCTGAGGATGGGCTAACAGGCATCTTTTCATGCATATCACCCAGAAGTACATGCCACCATCAAAAAAATAGCATATAGTCTTCCTTCCTTGTCATTTGGCAAACACACCAGGCAAATAACAGATCTAATGAGTGGGCCCTGTGTGTGAGTTGGGCCATGAATACTTTGAACTAGGTTTTTGGCTACGAACTCTGAAACCCTAGGCCAGACAGAACATGTCTAAATTTCCCAGAACCATAAGCCTGTGGATCTGCACCCACCTGCAGCTCATATAGAGTCCAACAGCTACACTACAGGGAGGAAGGTAAGTGAACAAAAATGGGAAGATTCTTTATTGCCAGCAATTTGTATGTAGAGTTTTATTTAGGCTTTATTTCATTGGTGACCATGATGTGGACTATTTTATTTCATTAGGAGATTTAGCCTACAACAAATATTCTTTATTTGGTAAGATATCAATCCTAGAATCCAATGGACCATAGGGATTTTAAAAGTTCTTCTATCAAGATACGGTAAGTCCAACCTACAGCCTCAGTTTCACTCTCACTAACTTAGAGACACTGAACTCTCCTTTCTTGTTCAGAAGAACTCTCCCAATACAGTGAATCTGAAGAAGGAAGTGAGGGAAAGAGGAAAGAAGCCTTTCACTATGACGCTGCACATAATAGCCCAATTATTCCAATATTCAGCATTAAATATTCATAGGAACTTAACTTTTTGCACTTAAAAAAGCCGGAATAGAAATGTGCAGACATTCTCATCCACCTAGGTAATTTCTCCAGCATTATATTTAAATTGGTTTCTATATAACTTGTGGACAGTTGTAGATATGGAAGCAATATGCCCTGCTACATTAATAAATATAGAAGATTACCTGCCACACTTGATGACTAAAAAGCTTATGTTTTCCACTACCAGCCCTTGCTCTGTGTTTGGAGTGGGATGTAAGCATGGCTTGGAGAGCATGTGCCACAGCATAGACTGCATTGTAGATACTGTAGCTTTGCCCAGTCATGCTCAATTCAAAAACAGAGTCTGGAAGAGTCTCCAGCTTCTCTTCCCCAGTGCATCTTTTCTCCGACTCTGGGTTTAAAGTGGATTTTGAGAAAGAACATTCAAAGGCTTGTTCCCAAAAGGCCCTTGAAAAACTGTCTTCATTTTCTGGAACACTGTTTCTCATCTGAAGAAATCTATTGAATCCTAATAATTCTTTTGATGACACTGCAAAAGAAAGAGCGCCATGGATAAAATCCATTCTCCAATCTCTTTGAAAAGGAACTGAAGTATATTCCATTTGGGCTGGGAAAATCCAAACTTTGTCTTTTCTCTCAACTGTTCTGTCCAAATATTCTGAAACATAGGAGATTGTTCTGAAACCTGCCATGGCCTGGTTTTCAGAGTATACAATTGCAACACTGGAGGTACTTTTCATAATGACTTTGCATAATTTAATGAAAGTATTGATTTGTTCTCCTATCTCATCAGAAAAAGCTACTGTTGGAAGCTCTGCAATGTAATCAAAGCAGATTCCATATTGGGATAAGACAATAAGCACTTCCCTCAGAAATCGTTCACCAATCTCATTTTCTTGAAAAATTATCCCAATCCAAGTCCACTTAAAATAAAGCAGCAACTGGAGAATCCCCATAACATGAAGATGTTCATTTGGATACATTTGATAGAAGAAAGCTGTATGAATCATGTTATCCATCGCTGGAGCAGAGCCATATGTGAGCTTAGGAAGAAAGCAAAATACAAAATGTATGTATATGTATTTGATATAAGTGATAAATGGTTAAATTTGACTGATTTATTTTTTGTTGCTTTGATTTTTTAGGGCTTATTCATAACTCACTGAAGATCTTCCTTTAATTTCAATGAAGTTAATGGAACTAAACTGTCACCATTTTTGGAAATCTTTCTAAAAATGTTATGATGTAATTTGATCATATTCAATTTGGCTATAATATATAAGGTTTGGGAAATAATAAAATGTTATGTAGATAACCTCTATGGCACATCAGAGAAGTCTAAACTATTGATACAGTAGATGTTCAGGATTTATGTAATGTTGTTATTTCCTTTCTACCACAAATGGAGTACTTTGGATCTTTGAAAAACTGATTTTTATCTAATTTGGGTATAGGAACAAAAGCCTAATTGAACCATTTAGTATCTAGTTCTCTGTAAAGTGTCCCCCCATAGTTGGTTCTGATGGGTACAACCCTGCTGCATATATATCCAGGATATATATGTGAGTATAAGTAGTGATATAAGATTCAATTTGCAGAATTTGATGATCGTTGTAATTTCTCCTTTGTGATACTGAATTTCTATTATTTAAGAATTTAACAATCAAACCTTCGTGCACTATTTTGTTATTCTCTTGAGACTTCACAAAACTTATCAATAAGAATAGATCTCTCTAACACATTTTTAAAGATTGCTAAGGAACACTCTATTTATAAGATAACTTGTTCTAAAAGCATAAGTTGAAAAAAAATTGATTAAAAAAGCATCATCATTATTAGTGATTTGTGCCAAGATAATTGGATTATTTTTCTTTGTAGAACCATGGATCAAGAAGGAATTCTCACACTCTCTCTGACATGTATTTTTCCAAACTTTCCTTGAAAACATCCAATGATGGAATGTCCAGAAGTCCAAGAGACAGGTTGTTTCATTACTTAACAGCTTTGAAAACAAACACTTTTCTATCTCTCTGATTTTCCTCTAGAGGCTGACTAGAGAATAAGTTTAGGTACAGAGCTTATGAAGGTATGTGAAAATGAACTTAGAAGACGAGAGACAGATGCACATAGCCTAGGGAATGATCTGATAATAGCAGCTAAAAAGGGAGGTGGGGAGAAATACTTTCAATTATCCAAGGTGTTGTTTTACATAACCTTGGTTAGGGCTTCATATCTTGGGTTCTCAAATGACTAACAAGGCTGAGCCTTCCTTCCTTCCTTCCTTCCTTCCTTCCTTCCTTCCTTCCTTCCTTCCTTCCTTCCTTCCTTCCTTCCTTCCTTCCTTCCTAGAATATCAATGCAGCTATATTCTTTGATATAGAAATACTGAGGCATATACTAGGGAATGAATGCATTGCTTGAACTGATTTTTTTCATGGAAGAAACTATTAAGAAATTATCTATCTGTATTAGATTATTACTTCTTAACAGAAGAGATTTGACATAGAGATGCCAGTCCATTATTATAACTGGACTATATCACTTTTGTATCTTCTGGATAATTGTAATTGCCTTCTAGGAGCAATTTCCAATCACCTTCTCAGATGAGCTCCTGCTTCAGATTCCAATGAAGGAAAGGGAGAAAAATCAACAGAAGAAACTTCTTAGCCTCAATAAAACAGCTGGTTCAATACTTGTCTGCAGACAAATCAAAATGTTACTTTGAATTATATGGAGGATAATTATTATCCTTATTATGACTTCAATACTTTGATTGTCTAGATATGTAATATGTTTTACTTTTCTTATTATTTTCTTATTATTATTTTAATTGCTATGGAACTTCAATGGAAAACAGCAGAAAAATATTTCAAATGAAAAAAAAAAGCTCTCTTAAGAGCAAGAGGATTCATCTTCTTTCCATTTATTTCAAACTGGAGACATCCTCCAATTCAGCACAGTATTCAGTTATGAATATACCACTTTGATCTTCCAGATATACTGTATAACATACTTTCATTTTCTTATTATTTCCTTGTTATTCAACTGCTGTAGAACTTCAATAGAAATCAGCAAAAAAATCTGAAATTAAAAGAATGATCTTTTTTAAGGGCAAGAGGAATAATCTTATTTTCATTTTTTAAAAAAAAAAAAATCGAGACCATATCCTCCAACTCAGCACAATTTTCAGTAAATCAAGACTGGAAAATATGAAAGTGTTGTCTATTCAGATGTCAGTTACATTCTGATTGACTTTAGTTTACCATGAATCCAGAAAATGTCATTAAAGAGGAAATCACATTACCAAATTTTTTTTCTTTTTTTTACTTGAGCAGGTCTTACCTGTGGAATCTTGTAAATGCTTAGGATGTCAGTCATAACCTGAGAGTTATGAGAGTTTGGTCCAGCAATAACACAAATTGAATTTTGGTGGATGCTACATTTATAGTTGGGAACAAATTTGTCATGTGAAGAAAGAAGCTCCATAGAAGCAAGGTAGGTCCATGTTGCCATGAAATAACTGTTAGATATCCCAAAGCCCAAAGTGATGTTTGGCAAGATCTGAGGATTTTTGTTGATTTCCTTTACAGCAAAGATCAAGGACAAGATATGCTGGTATGTCTGTAGAAACAAACTTTAAGGGAGGGTAGTGCCTCTGTCATAACACTTGCATTTCCACACAGATAATTTGTTACATTTCAATTTAATAATCTTTGTTAATAGCAAGATTCAAAAATAGATTTTGAGCCCGCAAGGCCAGACAGTCTGTAGAAACTACTTGTCCATCCCTATTCCATAATAGAACCAGCTATTTGGCAGATAACCTCTTTGGTATCTTGATCTTTGAGTACTCTTAATTACCTCTTTCAGAATGTTTTTTATAGCATAGGGATATTTATTTCTTATTTTGAAAGATCAAATGTTTTATATTGAACCACTTTAGCAATGGTTATACCTAAAACCTATAAAGGAAACATTGCCAACTCCTACAAAACCCTCTCTTTGAGGTCAAGGGTGTTTGAATAGAGAAAAAGAATTATACAGATGGGTTAGACTACAAAACTGCTATGGAGAAATTCAATGGAAGATGAACATTGTTTCTACATTTTAAGTAAAGCCCAAAATATTATGCTTCCATGTTTATGTTTTTTAAGCGATCACATTTAAATGGATTGCGTCTTTTGCCTTCCTTTCCATTATTCCCCCTTCCCCCATTCTTCTTCTCCCTCTCCCCTCTCTATACCAGTGTTATTGGATTCCTTTCTCAAGGTAATATTCTTATGTAATAAATGATTAATGAGGTATTTAGAATTCTACCCACCTACCTAACTAATTAACTACTGATATATATAGATAGATAGATAGATAGATAGATAGATAGATAGATAGATAGATAGATAGATAGATATAGATATAGATATAGATATAGATATAGATATAGATATAGATATAGATATAGATATAGATATATAGATATAGATAGATAGATAGATAGATAGATAGATAGATAGATAGATAGATAGATAGATAGATATAGAGATAGAGATAGAGATAGAGATAGAGATAGAGATAGAGATAGAGATAGAGATAGAGATAGAGATAGAGATAGATAGATAGATAGACAGATACCTAGCTATAAAAAGACTCTTTATAAAGGATTGACTCAAAACATTTGCAATTTGTACAGCTACTTTTCCTACAGTCATTATGTAAAATAATTCTGCTTGTCTCTTACCTCTGAATCAATGATCTTTCCTTACTGTAAACCTTCAAGAATTGTCCAAAAGATGATTTTTTAAAAGGCAACTGGACTTTCTTTGTTTTTCCTTGAAGATGTCTCACTGCTCATCCAAGAAACTTCTTCAGTTCCTCTTCAAAGAAAAACAAAGAAAGTCCAGTTGCCTTCTGAAAAAGCACCTTTGGGACAACAATGGCCTGGATGACTAAGAATCTCTATAGACATCATTCAAGAATTCTTCTAGATACAGTAGTTCTCCTGCATCATCCCCTATCTCCACTTCCATTCCCCAATTCCTCTCTTAGGACTTTATTCTATATACTTGAAGAAAAGGGATGAAGACTGGAAACGTTTATTAGATAAAAGTGTACTTAGATGTTAGGTTGCCATAAACCACAATAGAAACTTTCACCTATGGAAAACAAGTTGGTTGGACAACTATAATATCTATTCCTATTCTTCATTGATGAATTCCATCCAGCTTCAATCCATCAAGAAATAGGTGACATGGAACCAGAAAGTATAATGAAAACAATAAAAATTATTCTGCATAGAATGAGTATTTAGTCTCAAAAATGAAATGTTTAACTTTAGTGTTATCTCATAAATATGTCCTCTATGCAGAATGTGATTTGATCACATATACTATATATATAGTATTATCTTGCAATTGGTGTACCATGGAAATTTGGAACAGAAGCATTAGAAAGCTGGAAAACAGAGATTTGGGCAAAACTCAGATATCTGTTAAGCAAGACCATGTATATTGCTATAAACTTTATGAAGATAAAACAAAGTGGGAAAAACCTATTACCGAATTATTACAAAGTATCGAAGAAACAGAGTAGAATCTCCAAGCAGAGAAAGGATAGCTGAAAGGGGATAAAAGTTAAGTTTCAATCATTTATTCCTTCCTCCAAATACATTGACTAACTATCCAGGAAGATTTGGAAGCTGATAGAATTAAGAATGATAACTACATACATGGGATCATCAAGAAGTTCTTCCGATGGAATTGTTTTGAAGGTGATTAGGTTAGACATCATGTAGATAAGAGAAATAATGCCACCAATGATGAGATCACCTGAGTGGTAAGACTTGTATTTAATACTAGGGTTGTTGATTGTGCATTTAGTGCCATGGCATATGACCTGAGAAAGCAGTTTTATCACCCATAGCCTGAAGAGTAACATAGCAAATCAAAGATGTGCATTGCTCAAATGATCATTGATAGGGCTTCTGAATATCTAACATTTTGCCTCTTTCTTTCGGATGATCCGAGTGCAGAAATTATAGAAAAAACAATCAGAATCACAGAGTCTTGCTCTTTAACCTCCTATTTGAATGTGTTTAGGAACATTAAATATTAATAACATCAGACAGTCTTGATTGGGTGTCTATTTTGCTCTGCTCTTCAGAACTCCCTAGTGACCGGAGGAGTAAAATTAAAACATGGTCAATTATAAGGCACAACATATCTTGAGCTTCTGATGTTGCAGAAAAAAATAATTGATCTCACCCAGGTGTAAATGGTTTGTGTTTTTTTCTTTAGCAACAAGAGAAAAATGAATTGCAGTCAAAGGGAAAGAATCTAAGGAATGTAAATAACATAATGAGTGAAAGTTTATTTTGTACATTGTTTTGACTTGTACATTATGTAGCTAAAAATCACCTGGCACCAGAAAACTTTGAAAGGGGCATAAGCATATTTTAAATTACCCTTGGACATTTGGATATTGTAATCTGCAGTATTTGACTAAGTTGTTTTGACTCTATTTTTCCCCTTTTGGTCAATGCCACTTGCAGTCAGATTTTTTCTTATACTTTTTCAAGTAAATTTATATCCAGAAGTAGTTAGATCTTACTGATTCTTATTACTGCAACATGTTCTCACTTAATAACAACCAAGTACTGTATTTTTCTGTGTATAAGACACTATTTTTTCCTGCAAACACCCTGATCAAAAATCAGGTGCCTCTTATACAAGTGCAGCATCTTATACACGAAAAAATAATGATAACCTCCACAGCCCAGGACATGCCTATGTGGGTTCTTTACATGCCGCCACCATGCCGCATAGTGCAGGTGTCAAGCACCTGTGGGCTTGCCACTAACAGGAGGGGGGAGGGGGCAAGATCGTTGGATGGTGGCGTCCAGAGGCAGCGGATGGGACCAGCAGCATGGATGGCAGCGACAGCCTTTTCCCTCCCTCATATCTTTATGCTCATACCTATGGAACGCAGCTGCGAGGCTGTCCTGCTTGATAATAATGGCCGGCTGAACTTCCAGATTTGCCGGCTCAGCTGTTCGGTGCCCTACTGAACTGCTGATCAGTGTGGAAAAATGGCGAGGAGTTTAAAACCTGCCTTCACTTCCCTTGCCTTGCTGTCATGCTGGTGCTCATGCCGGTTTGTTTATCAGGGTCGGAAGGCTGCTGCTGTGAACTGACTATGCATGCTGGTTAGGTGGATGGGGGATGGGGCTGACCAGGAAGTGTCTATTTAGAGCGCTGGAAGGCGGTTGCTCCCAGCGCTGACTTTGTTTGCTGTAAGCTTGGAACTCACATGCCAGAGCTTCTTATACAAGGGTGTGTCTTATACACGGAAAAATATGGTAATACAAATGCTTTGAACTTCTACATCTGGCCTTTAAACCCCTAAACTGAGTTCCTTTCCAAATTGGATTTGTATGTGGCTTTCCTTTCTATTTATCTAGGAGATAGGGTGGGAGAATACTTTTTCAAAAGTTGTTATATTCTTCAGAATGACTACAAACAAGTGGATTTTGGTTTGTAGGCTTTTAAGAAGGGTTGGACTAGAAGAAGTCCCTTCCAACTCTGTTATTCTGTTCTGTTAAGGATATTTTTTCATATGATGCTCCCAATTTTTCTGCTAAGCTCCAGGAATCCAATTGTTTAGCACAATGAACTATGCATCAGATGCCAGTGCTATTGTTGCACCCTGCGAGGCCTACTTGCCCGGAACGGCCGCTTTGCCGCTCCACCATCAGGCAAGTCCCTTGCTACCTGCCTGCTGCCATTGCTGCCACTTACGGTTTCCTGTAGCCGATGACGTCATCGGAAAGCGCCTTGCCAGGCCAACAGTAATCCAGGAGCACTGCATTGCTCCTGCAAAGGAGAGCGATGTGTGGGCTGGATTCCGATGGACGCGGACGTTTTGCAAACTGCTGTGGGCCTGGCTGTAACCTGGGGATTATTAGCAAGCTATCATATCATATTAGCTATCATACTGCGGAAGCCGGGATAGACCATAAAAACTTGGAGGTGTTACAGACCCCCAGATGCCTATCACCAAAGCATGTGCATTGGGCACAATACTTCAAAAGATTTCGTTTCCACCTCAAGTACGTGCCAGGAGGGAGGAACTTCCTCGCGGATGCTCTGTCCCGGCTTCCGCAATATGATAGCAAGAGGGAGGAGGTGGTGCAAGCGATCATGCCCCCCTACAGCCAAAAAGAAGTGAGCACTTGCTCCAGAGTAGTGTCCTTTGAGGACGAGTTACGAACGGCTCTAATACAGGATATGTGGTTAAGGGACAATCCCAGATTGCTAACCCAACGGGACGCGTTAGCATGGTATGGCAGCAAACTGTACATCCTGTGGAACATGCAGAATTGGGTTTGTCACCGGTGCCACGACTCAAAACAAGCTGGCCACTTTGGATTCCTAAAGACGTTACACCTGGCCAGGCGTCAATTCTGGTGGCCCCGGATGAAACGAGATATTGAAGCATATGTTAAAAACTGCCAGGTATGC